CGTTCGAAGTCGAAGACGTGCCCTGGCGTGGATGCGTGAGCGGCTGCCAAAAAAGCTTGTCCTTTCGTCGCACGACGAGTTCGTGCTGGTGCATTCTCGTGAGAACCCGTTCGACGGTTTCACCAACATAATTGGCTTGACCACAATGACAATTGATACGGTAAATGCCACCGGAGTTTCAGTAAACGGGTATTGGGTCTTTAGGCTGCACCAGCAGTATAAGGTATTGCCAATAGAGGAGACTATAAGGCATTGCTCGCCAGTGTGTTGGTCCTGGCTGTCCCATTGGTTTGCTTCCTTTGGCTCCTCGCCTGCATTTTTCGACGAATGCGGCAGGGTATCCATTTATCGTGAACAGTTTCCACAGGAACTTGACCTCGGCCGTCTTGTCGGCTGGTTCGCTGCAATGGGTTTCTACTCGATGATGTAGCCTTCGCACGCAGCTGTGTTCGGGCGAGACGGGATGGTTACTGATGTAACTGAGAATGCGAAAAGTATTTGTCGCCTTCGTGTAAACTGGTGTTTTGAGCTCCTCACCGTCTTTTTTTGCCCGCCAGCACGTCCCTGGGCGAAGAAAAACACAATTTAGAAGAAGACGACTCGATCGTTGGGACAAACTTTTATTCGCCGGACGTTTCGAAATCCGTCGCGGATTTATCCTCAAAGAGCAGTAGCAAATACCCGGTAGCGTATGCACAAGAGTTTGCAGTATTTATAGGATACAGTCATTACTGCAAAGATACAACGACAATTAACGGTAATTGCCTTCTGGCGTGTTGATAGTTTGTTGAATAGCATGCGGGCTCTGACCTGTTGAATTTTCATCACGGGCGGTGGGCTCGGGCGTGATGATAGCTCTGCCGTCTGGCCCTCCGGTGTTGGCGTAGGATGACGCGGTGGCCTGTCCATTCCCCAAGTGGTGACTTGCTTTGGCCAAATTGAGTTTTAGCACCGAATATGGATTTGGAAAATCGTTGCAGTTGTTTATGGGTTGGGAATCCATGAACCATGACTCAAGTAGTTGTCGGCTCAGCCGATTGTCACCTCTTGCGAGAATTTCGGCCTCATTAGATTTGAAAGTGTGGCCGTTTAAATCGTAGTTTTTGCCCTCTCCCTCCCCCTCCACCCACGCTGTCACATCCTCTAGTGTTCTTCGAGAAGATTCCAGTCCCCTCGGTCGGTCGAGACTTGCAATCACGTGAAATCATGCGTGGCATGGCATGGGTTATCACTAAAAATTCACCAGCACTATAGACTGATTCATGCGCAAATCACCTGCATCCCTGCGTCCACGGTGGTATAGGACACATCCTTGGACACAATCATAATCAACGGCCGAATTGTCCTTTGTGTGTGCAGGTGCAATAAGCAAACTCTGACTTGACGGTAGCAGTAGTTCTGACTAATTTAATTTCTCAGGGAGTTATTGCGTGAACGCGAAGTAAATTCCCTTTCAGACTCAGTCCGAAAGTTGTTATGAATGTCTGAACAGTAGTTAGGTATTTCGTATATAACTACCCCCACCGCCCTGCCAGCTCATGTTTATTCGGTTATCGCGCAGTAGCTGATAGATTTCTGCTCAGTTATTCATTGCAACTTTGAGACCGAGTCTGAGGGATTTATTTCGCGCACTAATTTCCCCCGAAAGTGAACAAGATCAGATGGAAAATTGGGTTGATACACCAGAAAACAAAGGGGAATACTAGGGACTCCGCATAATTAGTCTCGCAACTGCGTTGGATAAACAAACTCGTGTCTGACCTGTTAGCTACTGTCCGTGCTGTCAGTCTGGTAGATATTTAATTGGTGGTCGTTGTCGTCCAGGTCCCTGCTCGTCCGCTTCTTACATTTGACGGGAAAAACCTAATGCGTCCAAGACACTAGATTCTGTGAAAGCCTGAACTTTCCCGTCGTACTGCTAATTCCTTCGATTTACATATCTTGCGCTCTCTGTCTTATCGTAGCCCGCTTTTCCTCTTAACAATCGCGTTTTTACGTGCACTTACTTGCTCAGTTAGGTGGTTTATCCCTGCTGAGGATGCCAGTTAGATAACATTCTTCTTCTTGTCAACCCACTGCTTTCAAGCTGATGTTCTGTTCACATACCACCTGCTAGGTATTCAGTTGTCGGAAGCCAGAACTAACAGCAACAGCAGCTGATAAGCTGTAGGGCTAAAAGCTTAGTAGCAATTATTGCAATTTAGGCTTGTTTTGGATAGATTATTTTGACATGGCAAGCAGCCAATGTGGTGCGCATTGGTTGCTAATCGCATGTGCTGGTGTGTAGGCTTTCAGGTACGATTGCCTTCCGTCGGCGTCTCTCTCTCCCCACCCTCGCCATCATACCCCCTTAGTCCTTCGAGAAGACCCTATTCCCCTTGGGCTTACAGACGCCCACCGCCTACCCGCTACTTCCGGCCCCTACATAATAGTCAGGACACCCCGTGATAGCAGAGCAGATCAGAGCAGAGGCTAAAATTAAAGAACGTTTCACGTGAATTTTCTCTCTTAGTTAGGTGGTGTATTGCCACCTATGTTCTGAACAAATTCTACCTGCTGGATATTCTCTTTTCGGTAGCCAGAAACAGCCAAAAGCAGCTGCAGCAGCAGCTGGGAAACTGTCGTGCGAACAATTTTACGGCAATCATTCCAGCCCATTGTGTTTGGTGCATTTGACGTGGCAAGCAGTCAAATGTGGTGCGCGTTGGCCGCTAATCGCAGTGTGCTAGTGCGTAGGCTAACTGTCTTCGGCTTTCAAGTAGGCTTGGCTTCCGTCGGCGTTTAAATCGCAATTTTTTCTCTCCCTCCATCTACACTATCACACCCTCTACTGTCCTTCGAGAAGATTCCATTCCCCTTGGTCAGTCGAGACTTGCAATCACGTGACCTCATGCGTGGTGTGGCATGGGAGATTACTACATAGCTGTCAACATTATAAACTGATTCTTGCGCAAATCACCGGTGTCCCTGCGTTCGCCGTGGTATGGGACACATCTTGAACACAATCAAACTCAACGGTCGGATTGTCCCTTGTATGTGCAGATGCACTGGGCAGATACAAGCACAGTTGGTAGTCAGGCCAGTTGAACAATTGCCTGAATGGTTGCTGATGTCGGAAAACGATCCCTCGGCTTTTCCATCGCTAAACACCCACTTGAGGGTAGCAGCAGTTCTGACTTGTTTATTTCTCCGGGAAGTTAGGGCATGTGCGTGGAGTAAATTCCCATTCAGACTCAGTCCGAACCTTTTTTGTGAATATTTGAACATTTGAGCTGTCAACATGGTCAGTACTTGTACATTACTATCCGCGCTCGCAGCTCGTACGTATGCGATTATCGCGCATAGTAGCTGATAGATTTTGGCTCAGATATTCGTATCCACTTTCATACCGAGTCTGCGAAGGTTTGCTCCGAAGGATTTGCTCCAGGTTTGCGCATTAATTTCCCCGGAAAGTGAGCAAGACAGGGGCGCAAATTGGGTTACTTTACCTGAGAGAACAAAAGGAGGATGCTGCGGATAAGTCAAACTCGTCTCGTAGCTGGACCGAGAAACACACACACAAGTCTGAGCTATTAGCTACCTACTGTAAGTAGTGAAATAGTGGTTTTTGTCTTCCAGGTCTCTGCTGTCTAAATACAACGGGAAAAACCTTATCTGTCTAGGGCACCAGATAACTTGATAGGCCTGAACTAACCGATTTGGACACCCCTTCCGCGTTATCGCTGCGGCTTCCCCTTTCGGTTGCATGTTTATGTATACTTTCTTCCTCAGTTAGATGGTGAATTCCTAACTATAATCGGCGAAACAACTGAAAACCGGGAATCCTAACCGCTAGACCATCGGGGTGCCCG